GATGCCCAGACTGCAAGTCCGGCTGCGGGTGACGTTTGCGAAGACTGCGGAAAGCTGCGCTTGGACCGCAGGGCTACCGTGCGTTCGAGCGACCTTGTAAACGAAATTAGATACACGACACTCACAACAAAAGGGTTCCTGCAAATCCTTCCTTGCTCCACCTGTGCACGCATGTGCACGCCCAGACACACACCCGTGCTTTCCCACTCGGAGCCTCACCGAGCCCTTACGTCTCGAGAGGACTGCGGGCGGCACGGCCTCGATGCAAGCTCCGCGCCGCCGCAGGCCTGCTACTGATCTCCATTGAGTTGCGATGTGTGCAGAGTGCGTGCAGGAGTCGAGTTTTTTCGAAGGTCGGCTACGCTCGCCTGGAAGCCGGAGCTCAGCGTGCTTACAGGCCCAAGGCTTTAAACAGCTCTCCCAGCCTCTCGGCCCGCTGAGTTTCGCCAGGTGCTTGGAGCCTACGGCGGAGGAGCGCTGCAACGCAGCGAACGGCACTGGGCCCGGCGCGGCGCTGGGCTGCGCCGCCGGCCACCGGGCGAAACCTAGAATAACTTCCGAGCCTCCAGAAAAGAGAGGGACTGCATGGAGACACAACAGTATTATATAGCTTGACCTCCGAGGCCACGAGGGCCCTCTCTGTGTGGCATGCTCCTGGGGCTACCGCAGCCGTGCCGGCATCTGCATTCTCTGCGAAGTGGCCTCCGATGCCCACAAGCGCTGGCCTCCCGGACGAGAGCTGTTCTGAACCGACAGTCTTGGTCAAGTGCTTCTTAATATATGCTTTCTCGAAATCAGGGGCCAGGCTGTACTTGCGTTGGGTAGTCGGGGCCGCGGTCTTTGCCGGAGTGCTCGCTGCCGTCATCTTCCTGTGGCGAAGGCTGGAGCTCCGCAGAGTGTTCGGTCATGCACTCGCAGTGGGCAGCATGCAAAGGCATGATCACGCACGGGAGAGAAAAAAAAAAGGGAGGGAGGGAGAGAGGGAGGGGATCAGCACAAGCTCATGTATAGTCTCGAGGGAGCGAACGAGAGAGATTGAGAGCGAGCGCGCGCCACAGTTGCCGCTGAAGGAGCCGCAGCCAGCCCACGACATCCCGGCTCGAGCCGACACTGTGGAGCGTCATCGGCCAAGCATGAACGGATGCAGACGGGTATATGGAAACGTTGAAGCATGTATCCTGTTGTCCTATGATTTGCTCGAAACAGAGAGCCGTTTAGGGCGCTTCTCGAGGTGATGCAGCCCCTGTTGGCCGCGCAGGGCCCCGTGCTGCTCCAGCTGTTCCAGCTGTGGGGGCTGTTGGTGGCCCTCTTGGAATCCCAGGGAAAGAGCGGCGACGAACCGGCACGGGCTGACGGCTTGTGGGCGGAGGAGGGCCGGTGTTTATTTCCCATGGAGAAGTCAGCAGCGATTGCACGCTATTCTTGTGCTTGCTCGGGCTCAGGAGTGCGTCCAGTGGCTCCAGCTCACTGCGCAAGGTCTTCGCGATGCGACGAGCCTCGAGTGCTGGTTCGGAAGGACCTTTCTTGATGCTCGCAGAGGTTCGGAAAATTCAGAGCCGTGTGTGTCGACTACGACAGGACAGCGAACGATGTCACGGCTTTGGTCGGGCCCTGTGTGCCCCTGGCGCTGCTGGTGCTCTGCATTCTTCCGGAGTTGACCTCGCATGGAAGCGGCAGCGACCTCAGACCGAGTTGCCCAGTTCCGCGAGATGCGCGCGAGCGCCGCTTCAGTTTTCAGGTGTCAGCTTTGTGCTGAAGCTGCTCACCCTGCTCTACATCGGGGGCGCCTCGAGCAGCGCAGCGCTCATGCGATGCCAGCACAGCGACGGAGGCGCTTGGACTGTCGCTGCATGCTCGTGTCAGATCGTGTCAGTGTCGCTCATATCTTCGACTCTTTTGCCAGAAACGCAGGAAAAGAGCGCCTGCCCGATACGTACGCATTCCGGTCTGCACTCCCGGACATCAAGTGCCAGGATGCCGCTCCGCTTGTCGCTCGGCTGCAGGTGGCAAAAGACTGCAGTGTCGTACTCTAATACAGATTGCCAGAGGTCAAACATTTCGGAAAGTGCAAACATGCAGACGGTTTCACAAATGTATAGTGCTGCAGGGAGGAGCTGCCATGAGCACAATTCAGTTGTCACATCATGTTGTTCTAATTTGGTGCAATTTGTGTAGGTCGGATCCGCTGAATTGTTGCCGTGTGCAGGCTTTGTTGACGGCATGCAACCAAAGAAGCAGCACTGCGCTGAGGCAGATAGCATCGCTGCGTCCTGCATTGTGTGCTACGGGCTGCTGATCCCGAGCTTCCTGGCGTACCTCATGTTCAAGCAGCACCTGGCTTTGGCACCCAGCCGCTGCTTCGTCAGCCACGTCGCCAAGAAGGAGGGCGAAGTCACAGTCTGGGTTTTACCTGTGGAGGAGTCCGAGAAGCCCGAGCCGGAGCAGGACAAGGCGGGATGCTTCCAAACCAGTTGCCAATGCTTCTTTTTCTTGAGTTCCTCCCGACGCGATACGATGGAGGAGCTGAAGAGGAAGAGCCTCCTGGCCGCGGCGGTAGCCCGCAGCTGCATCTACTTTGCCGGCGGCGTCCGGGTTCAGTTGCAGGACGAGCGCTTGAGTCTTGGCTGCCACCGGTCTGCCTCAAGAGGAAGAGCGAAGCAACAACCCGCTAAACTGTCGGAAAGTTTCTTGCGCCCTTCAGCTGAGGATCCTCCGACCGCAGGAGCAAAGCGGCCAAGAGCACGACGTGAACTTGGATGCCGCGGGCTCGTTCGACCGCATGCGGGTGTAGCCGGGGAGACACGGGCCGTGGTGCACTGCTCAGGCGAGCAGCTTCGTTTGGACGGCCCTGGGGAACAAGGGCGACGCAGATCTTCGGCGTTGCCAAGCTCTTGAGAGGCCTTGGGCTCTGTCCATCACATACCTTCCCCCGACTGACCCAGACAGGGCCCTTCGGGTCCTGCGGCTTGCTTTGGGAATGCTCTTCGATTGGTCCGTCTGCATGACGTCACCGGTCGGACATGCAGACGCCTGCACGGAGGATGCTGAAGGAGCGGTACGTACTTGACGAGGTCGCTTCCTCCGACAGATGCTTGGCTTGAGAGCTGTGCCTGCCTGTCCTAGAAGCCGCCCGTATACTGTAAAAGTGCAGCATTTCACGCGCGCGCGCACACACACACACACACATAGAGAGAGAGAGA